TATATATATATATATATATTACCATATGTATATATTCTAAAGTACTACATAAGCTTTATCAACCAAAATATTGGGAGATCAGATTGAAATCCTTACAGCTCCTCTGCTAATTAGAGGAATCCATATCATAAAAATCACTTTTCTTTTCCTTTTCCCTTCCTCTTTGAGTTTGCTATCTGTGTGACATTTGCCAAGGATCCTACCTCAAGGTAACCCTCAGGCAGACAAGCCCATTCTTCTGCTGGCTGGCCACAGCAGGTCAGTGTATCTAAATTTGGTAGGATCAGGAGGCCACGCACATAACACTTGAGAAGTCTCCAGCTGTTAGACGGTGCCTTAGGGATTATTGCTGGCTGCTATAATGTAAAATAGACTTTAAAAGGTAGGGCTGATTAAAGACCAGCTGAAGAATTAAGAAATCTTAACTGGATCTCTAATGGTCCCATCTCTCTTCTGCTGTGAGATTTTGTCCACCTCAGAGAAACAGACTATTTCAAACTGCTGAATATCAGACATAAATGACCAATTTTATTTTGAGATCACTATTTCTTGAGAAGCCCAAATCTTTTAAGTATTTGCTATGAAAGGAGTACATGCACTTACAATGTTGTAAGAGAATTTTAAGCTGGAAATCAGGAAAACTTCCTAACAATAGTAATGGCTGTGGAATTTGTTGTTGAGGTAGACTCTCCATCACTGCCTGTATTTAGGAAAAGTTTGGCAATAGCTCAGATCAGACAGTAACTCTGTTTAGATACCGATGATCCTGTTTTGAGACATGGAGATGGACTGGGCAGCCTTTCAATGTCTTTTCCAGTTCTACTTTCCATCAAAGTACAGAAAATTAAATGTGTCACTGTAACATCCATTTACAACGTTGCAGTCATTTTCTTTGTACATGAACTACCAGGAAGGCCTTCCAGCACTGAGAGGGCAGGACTGGAAGAAGGTATTAGCCGTATGGAAGTGGGTATTAGTCATAAGACTACTGACATGGTTGCATTCAAACTCATGTTTGAATAGATTTTCTTATAACCTATCTCATTTTCTACTTTGAAATGTGGCCCAGAATTCCACAAAAAAAATGACACTTCAACTAATAACAGCAATTAGGTACTTCATTGAGCACTGACAAGCATATAGACATCTCTGGTGGTGGTGTGCCCTTGTTAAATAAATTGGTATCTTTCTTTTTTAATGTCACAGATCTAGTACAGAAATTTAAATGACTGAATGGGTGGAAACAATCTTTTTTTAAAGTAAAAATGGCTGCTATTTACAATCCATGTGATACCATATCAAATTCTCAATTAAAAAAATATTCAATTAAACTGCACACATTTAAAGTTCAAGATAGGAAGGCGCAACATAGGTTAACGTTTACTTCTAGCACCGGGTACTGCCATAGGCAAGGAGAAAACTTGATTAATCATTGATCTTTTCTGTAAAATTGTTCCTGTGATTAGGCACTGAAGTTTTCAAGGAGACTCAAGGTTAATTAATTTAGTTTACTGATAGAGCTGATTTGGAAGCAATATACTTGAAAGCCACACTATTTTTTCCAAATTCACAATACAACAAATGGCATACAATGCAGAAAGTTTTATCATTAACTTTTTCCAAATGAAATTATGCAGTGTACTTGAACTGATAAAAAGTTATATGCTTAACTGTTAATTACTACTTCTTTTCATATTTATTTGGAACTTCAGCAGTAAATACTAAAATGGCAGTAAAATAGTATTTCCCTTTATTTTAATCTGAAGTTAGCAAGTCAAGCATTTTATACCGTAGACAAAAATTCACTTATTACTCTTCCATTTATTTTAACAGAGCTTCTTGAAAGATTTATTACAGAAAGCAAATAAGCAGATTGAAGACTCAAAGCTAACAGAATACACAGAAATAATGGTAAGACTGTTTACAGACATATTTCAACAAGACTGAATTAATCCATTTATCTTTAGCCACTGGAAGTTTCCGAATTACTTAGAGCCTCACCAGCTCCTAATCAAGCAAACTGTGTCATTACAACATGGAGATGGCAGTGGCATCCAGCACTGCAAGCACTTCTGCAGCTACAGAGCTTTGATGGGCAGTTTTCAATACTGCTTAAAAAAAGTGCTCAGGAATTTTGAATCTTTTTGGTATTAGACCATACTATAGTATGGTACAAAGAACTTTCCCTTGTTCTGCTTCTCTGTGTCATTAGTTGTGAAACTGAAGTCTTCACAATTCATAGAAGAAATACCATACCTGTCACAAGATTATTTACATTATTATATTTAGATCAAATGAATTTCAGGTTACTTTCTACGTTTTGCCTTCTTAAGGTGCTGTAGTGTCTGTCTCTTGTCCTAAAAGCCATCAGGACATCATGCTGGTGTCTTAGTTTTACAAACTTCTCACTCTTTCCTTCTCACCTTGCCCCCTTCAAGAAGGGGAAAACGATGTTTTAGATACGCACTAGATCAAAACTATAATTTCCCTGGCCTACCTGTCCTCGGGGCACTCCTTCCATCCCACCACTATGGTCTTCCATGGTAGGGACCAGTATTGGCTGCTGAGTGGATGTTTCAAGGAAAAAAACCTCAGAAATCCTGTCTTCAGGAAATGCATAACACTACTTTTTTGTTTTACCAGCTTTGTTTAATCCTAAAATATTTTTAGCAATCAAAACCATGCTAGGTAAACACACTGGCCCTGAAATAGGCCTAAGAATGGCTGATCAAAACTTGCATTTCTCCTGGCAAAGGTCTGCTGGTTTGTGGTACCAGTATAAGCCATTTACCTAGAATTGTCACTATTCACTGGTGAAGATAATGTGTATCCCTTTCATTCATGTAGGTTTTTGGTCTTCATCTTAAAGTGTGCTCTAAGTTCTAACCTCTGCAGAGAGACACGACGACAAGGAATTAATAGCAATAAGAAAGAAATGATAAGGCCAGCTCTCCCATAATCTTCTCAGAAACTAGACAAGATGACTAATAGAAAACATACAGTCCTGAGCAGCTGCAGGCAGGCAAAGCCAAGCACTAACAACCCATAAAACAACCCAGCAAAATACAAAATATGTTGACTTCATAGCTGCCACTGCTTGCCTGCCAGAAGCAAATCTCCTTGCATGGGAAATATGTGCAAGGCAAATGCTTTCATACAAGGAAAGAAAGTGTTAAAAGGAAGCAGAGTGTTATGTAAAAATAAGTGTTTGCAGAATTGGTCTAATTTCTGGTCTCCTTTGCCACTTATTGTATATTAACCAAGTGAAATTGGGTCTTTTTTCATGGCATTATTTCTATCTTTAAAAGGATATACATTTCTCTCTGTTCAGGATGCTGCTATTCCTCTTATCTAAAAAATTACATCTAAAATTACTGTGATTGAAAGTGATGGGATGGAGTGTGGGTGGCAGTGTTTTCAGTACAATGTCTAACAATGTTTTGTATGGTTTGCTGCTTTTGTGATTCTTTTATACAGCAAAGACAAAACAGTACTTGCAAGTAGAAAAATGGAACTATACAGACATAAAAACTAGGAGAGGAAGTCCCACACAGGTGTAATATCTCCAATTACTTCTAATAACGAGTATAAGCTGTTTGTGCAACACAAGCAGCAGGAGCTCATGATTTCAAGGGCACAAAGGAAAACATTTTTATACAATAGGATAATTAAAATTTATTACAAATAGTATTCACATATTTTGCCAAATTACATTAATATATTCATTTCCATAATTTAATTATGATTATTTGGAGACGTTTCATTTCCCATTTTCATACCATCAACAAAATGTGATCATCTACGGCATCTATTCACACTTTTCTTGAAACACATCACAGAAACAGAACATGATCTTTACGTAAATAACTAGACCTAGCAGCCATGAATGACACGTCTGTCATTTTCTGTTCAAGGAACTGAATGCTTTGGACTTACTGAACTTTACCCAACTGTTGTTTCACCTTTATGAATACAGAATAATGATGCTATTATCAGATCATGACATGAAGTCAAAAGTAAAATGTTATCATGTCAACAACCCTCTCATTTATAAATAATTACATGCACATTTATCACATGGGACATTCATCACTGCAGGCAGGTTAAGACCTACCTTACAGCAGGTTAATCAGAATTGTTCATCTGGCTTCTTATCAGACTTTTGCAGTAGAATTAATTACTATAAATTACTTCTTCAGTACTGCAAATAAATGTATTACACAGCAAATATGACAGATTAAAACCTGGGGCCATCATTTCAGCATGAAATAAAGGCTAATTTTCATTGAATTTAAGTTTTCCAAAGAAGTGTTTTCTTCATCATGTTAATTGATTCTATTTAATAATGTAAAATTATACATTCTTTCAGCTCAGGATGTTTGATGCAAACAATGATGGAAAGCTGGAGCTTACTGAACTGGCCAGGTATGTCTTCTGTCTCTTTTCAAAACCAATATTGTGTACCAGTCACTGTTGTGAAAACAATTAAATATTTTTACCTTTATGTTTTTATTTTCAAAGACTACTCCCTGTACAGGAAAATTTTCTTATTAAATTTCAGGTAGGAATATTCACATTCTTAAGGTAACCTGTTACCTTCACACATAACTGGTGTCATTAATGGATTTTTTTTTCCTTTTGGCATTTAGGGTGTCAAAATGTGTGCAAAAGAATTCAATAAAGCCTTTGAGATGTATGATCAAGTAAGTAAGTCTTTAAAAAACCTTGAATAATTTGATTACACTCTATTTTGTGGAAAACTAGCCATAACCTCTGAAATGAAAAATGTTTACTATTATCTTTAATGTTTTTTCTTCAGGATGGCAATGGTTACATAGATGAAAACGAACTTGATGCACTACTGAAGGATCTCTGTGAAAAGAACAAAAAGGTAGTCCTGAGGGCTTTTTTCTCTGTAGAGATTAGATTTAATTTGGATTTTAAGGACACTTTAATCCACCCATTTATTAAGATAAATATAGAGTTTCTAAGCCGTAACGCCTGAAGTCAACATACAACTAAAAATCTTGACAGAAGTCATAGCAGTGTAAATGCAGAACTAGGGGAGTTGTGGTTACACAGCAACACTGCCAAAAGCTCGTGTCTGAGACATCAGCTATCAGCAATCAAACATATGGCTATAATATGGATATCATACAAACACATAAACATTTGCAATGTGTTGCTGTAGGACAGGCTGAGAACACCCTTGTTCTTCTCATTTTGTGCCACTGGCAGCAAACTTGTTCATTCTGGAAACTAAACAGGATTATAAAGCATTATCTGTTCTTTAAATAGGAATTAGACATTAACAACCTTGCGACGTACAAGAAAAGCATCATGGCCTTGTCTGATGGAGGAAAGCTTTACCGAGCAGAACTGGCTCTTATTCTCTGTGCTGAGGAAAACTAGAACTCTTCGATCATGTCCACTTAACTAGTGATGTACTCTATCTACACAATAACTGTGCACTATAAGGGAGTAGGCTGTATTTTTAAATTGCATATAGAAAACTAGCCAGGATGTGTGGCACATTCCTTTCAGTTTGTTTCTATACTGTTTGTAATGTACAGTTTTTGTAACAATAAGATTGACTAAGAGAATGTTTATGTTTGGGCCAGTCTGTATATTCAAAAAGAAACTAAAATATGTTGGGGTTGGTTCTGGTTTTGGTTTTTGGTTTTTTTTTTGCTTTCATAAAAACAGCTGGAAAAAAATGAAACCTGCTGACATTGCTGTGGTCATCATATCCTTTGACACTTGCAACGTTTCTTGTTGAACTACATAACAAAAGGTCTACAGATATCCTCCCCCATTACAACCAAACTATTTAAAAAATGCAAACCATAAATTCAGATTAAATATGATCCAGGTTTGAAATAGGAAAGAGATGACGGCATGTCTGATTTCCACAATTTCACAACATACTAAGAAAAAACTTCAGTTGTCAAACCACCCACTTACAGGTCTGTGCTCTCTGCAGTTTTTCAATTACTTTTCTCATTACAAACTCATAGCATGTAGACAAAGCATTTATCTGCAATAGATCTCCGTGCAGTAGCTGACAAAAATATAGTGTTTTCAATCTAGCTGTTTAACTTTACTGAATTTAAACATAGGCACTTCGGAAATAAATGCCTTTAATCTGTCTTGGAATCCTGGCTAAATGACAGGTAGTATAGTAAATACACAGATTAACATATGATATTATAAGTGTACCTTTCATGACTATTGCTGTGTCAGAGAATATGACAATCCATTTTCTAAACTATTTTCACATTTTGCAGGTTATAATTATTCTAGTAAATTGCTGTTTTTACATCATATTCTGTGTAATCTATAATTAAATTTAATAACCTAAGATTGTTGGTGTCTAGTTTGTCTATCTCCTAGATTCTTTTTTTCTGTACCATGTAAAGGACAAAACAACTATTTAAAAAAATGTGCCTCCTTGAATCTTAAACTGAATTCTTAATCTATCATAATAGTACTAAAATTTAACCCTAAAATAAGCAAAAGATCTAGTACAGATTTTATACCAATTTAGTAATTTGCTTTACATGATGGGCTCTGCTTTATACTATGCTAAAGAGGTACTTTTTAAATGGGAACATTTAACATATGGAAACAGCCCTGTCTTTATGCATCTTTATTTCTTTGGCCTGGCTCCCTTTTTACTATATACTAGTTTTATGCCAGACAACTCCACAAATGTCCAGGCCGTTGCTCCCAGTCTATACTGGTGTAGGAAGGAAATTGGGCTATGTCTTAAAGCCAATGAAACCATGTCATCTTTATCTACAGTTTCAGAAGCAATTCCAGGTTAGCAGATTAGCTATATACAACTTCTGAAATGCATCTCTGTGTCTTATTTTAGCAAGTAGAAGCAAATGCATTTTATGTGAAATGTGTCTCAAACAATGAGGCTCAGCACCTTCAAGATCACCATCACCGAAATGAATCCCTGAACTCCTCAGGTGAACTCAGGCAACTAAATACCATTTCAGGAATGGTCCAATGGCCTTGGGCTGTCTCCAGTCTGAGTCTTGGCAAGTTAATGAGCAGTGGGGGCACGATGGAGTCTTGTGGAAAAAAGCCACAAAAACATTAAAGTAAGATTAAGCTAGCTCCTTCTTACTGCTTTACTCCCACTCCACGCACAGTGATTTAACTTCTCACCGGCTTGTTCTCCTCTTTCTCTATGCAATGTGAAACACAACTGTATATGTTAAGCAAAGGAACAGTGAATCTGCCTATCAGCACAATAAATGATTGATATTGTTCATACTGTGCACTTGAAACCATGGATTTTGCTTTATTTTAACATTTAAAAAATGTAAAGAAAACCCCGTAAAACTTGTATGTAAAAATGTGATGTGACTGTTTGCCAAAATCATTACAGTGGAAGATAAAGTATTTAAAGTGCTTTGACCAGAAGTCATCACAGACACTGTCTTCCTGAGCATGAGTAAAGTTACATGTCACAGAGTCGGCCTGAAGCCACCCTTCTGCTACTGCTGCTGCTCACCCACATGCTCCAATGCGGATTAAAAGACAGCAATTTCAAAATCCAGTTCTAGCGAAAGTGTCTCCTATTTCAGCATAAAGCAAAGTGTAGCAAATACGGGCAAGTCAAAACTGTTTTAAAAACTCCAGGTTTTATAATCTCTAAAATGCTCCTGGGCAGAGCTCTTAAAAACTTCAGGCTTGGGACAATAAGAGAGGTGATGATAGGGAAGACTGCAAGCTTCTTTCTTCTGGTTGACATTTAGTGACCAAAAAAAAGGTTGAAAGTGAGATGCACATGCATGCACAAAAATTAATTACATGATGTAGTGGAGGTATACCGTATTTCTGCTAAACAGAGAAACTGACTGGCAGGTAGGTACATGGGATCTACTTTACTAAAGTTGTTAACCACTTTACTGTCTAAAAATATATATTTTATTTAAATAAATACTCAAACTAATAAGCACACAAGCTAATAAATAGTCAAACACAGACCTAAAAATGGCAAACAAGCATGCTGTGCAAAATTTTGTCCATTCTAGTGTAAATGTGTACAGAAGAAAACTTGTCACAACGCTTCTTATTCAAATCCAGTGATTATTGGGCCCTTTAAAGCCCTCTGGTACTATAAATGCAGTATCTGCTGATGGATGTAAACCTTCACAATATCAGGCTGGGCAGAGTGCCTGCTTCCAGCTTTGCTCTCAGCCCATTAGTGCACCTCTGGATCTCAGCTCATCTGAAGTCACCAGCACTGCCCAGCCAACAGCTGTGATTCAAACCCCTGTCCATTATGGAGAATATCATGCTAATTCCCACCAATGATTTAATCAGGATTGAACACAGGCCTTGAAGCGAGGAATTTGGCTTTCGTTCACCATTCTACTCTGAACAGTACATGTATGGTATCATAGCACCTGCCTAATCCCTCTCAATTTAAAATTTAGCTATGCATCCTAGAAAAGATTACCCACACAAGCTAAAGACACTGCTAAAGAGCACATTGCATGTGCAAATGTCAAATACAGATCAGGTGCTGGCAGCCAGCAGTGCTTTCACATAAAATGAACGTTGCCTCACAAAATATGCACACACTGCTGCTAAACTGCACTTAAACTTGGATTAAGTCTTTGTTTCATTAGGCAATGTTAGTTTTTTCTGATTAATTTCCATTTGGCATCTTGTGCATTTATACTAAGCCCTCGTCATAACCACGGTTATAACCACCGATTGTGGGAGCAAACCAAAATCCACACCTACTTGATGTGTCTATAAGGAGGCTAAGAATCCATATTTAGACACCCAAACATACGTGGCCTAATTTTCTGAAGTGCTGAGCATCTCCAAATCCCTCTGAAATCAACTGAAGTTCTTCTGCACCAATTAAAAGCAGGCCAATGCACCAAAATCCCAAAGATAATTTTATTTTACTGCATATTAAATTATCACATGAAAGATTAGAGGGGGGTTTACCTTCGTTAAAAGTGGGGTTACAATTTGCAGCTACAACACAAGACACTCCACAAAGTTAAAGAAAGCTACGAACTTCTTGAAATTCTGTGTCTTACCTGTTACCAGCTTGTGAAAAAAACTAAAGATAAATGCGCAGTTCATGTGCTGATAAACTTGGAAGCCAGGATGGACAGGTAGGAACCCACAGTTCCCACAGATAGTGTCATCTTCTGCTTGTAAAGCCGATTCTTGAATTGGTAAATAATAGCAATATTCCCAACAGTAATTGAAATATTCAACAGGAGGGAATTCCCAGAAATAGGAGAACCAAAGACTGACAGCATTTCCGGTATCACAACGAAGAGGTAATACAACTAATCTCTTTCACTTGCAACCTCAAATGATTTCCATAACTTGTTTATAAGACTCTACTATAATACAATACCTTTTACCTTTACCTCTACTATAATACAATACTTTTACAGCACAGAACTAATCCAAGAAATTGTAACAGACAGGGTCAAAGACAGTAACTCATCAATTGAAATAAAAAGGGTAATTTCAAGATTTAACCAAGCAGACAAAATGCACTTTTCAGTTGAAAACAGACAATGAATCCTCATTGAGAGTGTTTCTCAGCTGAGTTCATGGCAGTGTTAATACCTTTGACTGATGGGTCAAGCAGAAGTAATTTTTAAAAAGGTATTTGGATTCCAGGAAAGTTTTCCCTGTAATACATGAAAATTAAACTGCCTCTGCAACTCTACTGACTCTAGGATATATCAACACCTCTTCTGACTCATGCCTCCACCTTCTTGTCCAACTTCATCTCCATGAAATTATTATGCCACAAAGCAATATTTTTTTCATATTTCCCTTTACATCGTGGCTCACTGGCAATCTCAGGTAGGGTCAGGAATGTAGCGATCTCAGGGCAAACATGTCAGCGTAAGACAAGATGCCTAATGTGGAGATTATCTCCTACCATTTCTGCTTTGTTTGGAACAAAGTAGCTGTGATGACCACGGTTTGTGTCGACCAGCGTGCGCAGTACGTAGCTATGGAGCATGCTTATGGACTGGGCACCTCTTGGGATTTAGGGGTATTTTATGTCTCTCTCAGGACAGGCTCATCCTTGTGGGCATTTAGGAAGATTCTTCTGGAATTTCCAAGCCAAGCCAGACATTGCCTGGGTTAGGGAGCTCCTACAAGGCTATCTTATTTTCTCTTGTCCTTTTTCAGACGTTCTGATGCCATATGTTGCTACTTTAGTATCAAACAATAAATCTGTTCTTAGGTAAATGATAAACTTGAGATGTTCAAGATTCATCTCTCCATAGTAATGTTCCTCTCCTATCCCAAACAAGTCTAACAACTCTTTCAATGAAGGAAATTAATCCAAGCCAGACTATACCATTCTCCTTCAGAAGTGGACAGCTAGATCGGAGTGAAGTTTTTTTGCTTAACTAAGTCTATATATTAGGAATTATTTTATAAACTATCCAGTAACATATAACTCTTCAAAACATGATATGCCATTTCTAAAACCTGCATTTCTAAAACCTGCATCAACACATTTTATACACCTCATGAAGACAGAACGTTCAGAAACTAAAAAAGCAACTAAGTTGCATAGTTTGAAATGGATGTCATTGGTATAGGTAAGATAAAAGAGACTCTATTATTATTACAGATGCTCATTGAAATTTAACACATGCTTTCTGCTTCTATCAGGAAGAACATGCTATAAAAATGTTTTGTTGTCACTTTACAGTTAATAATTCATTTAGCTATGAACAAGTAGAGGGTATTTTAGAATACCTGTTTCTGCAAGTGATAAATGTTCTGTTATTGAATAAATACCCAGTATCTACTTACAAGACAGGCTTTAAAAGGCCTCTCTTCAATATTCTGACCTTATGAAATAAAACAAATAAACCCATTCTTAAAGGACATGTTCCAGTAACTCTGATGGTTCAGAAAGATTATGGTCTTTCTACAGTCCCTGAAAGATTCACTGAATTTCTCCTAGATGCAAAGTTGGCCTAAATCTCTCTGATGAGAAAAGCAATGAAGGAAAGACAAAGATCTTTTAATTTTTTAATTTTAGGTCAAGAAGGAGTATTCATTTTAAACTGCAAAAGCACTTGAAATTAATTCAGTACTTTCACACAGGAACCCACTGCCTTTTGCTGTGGAAGTGAAATATTTCTGATCTGAGCTCCAGAAAGTTTACTTTCTAAACAATCAACATACACAAGCAAAGCATTATTACAGTGGTGGTTGAGCCCAAAAATAGTGTGTTTAAAGCCAATGCCAATGGATTCCTGGCACTGACTATGTCAGTAGGCATTACATCTAAGCACTGCGCTACCTATTGCTGAAATATTTGAAAAAAAGTAAT